TTCAGATATTATGATGTATTAATTGTGATTTATAAAGGTCTTTGAATGCTACATCACAGAATATTATTGCCAAATACGCATTACGCATACTTTTAAAGTCTGGTAAGTTGGGTTCCTAAAACGAAATTTAATCAGCTTCGGCTGAACCCATTATATATTATAATATATAGACTATATATGGCACATTCATATTAATATTCTATCAGATCTTTCCTTAGATAAACTTATTACACAAAGTAGTCATGGTTATAGTAACAGCTTAAATTCCTTAGGATTTAAATAGAGAAAAACTTCAAATTCTCTTAGTGATCTTCAAAACTTCTTTAGCATTTTGATAGATAAATCTTACAATCTACATCAGACTTCACCCAAACACGATAGTTCTGATGGGTAGAACAAAAGGAGTTAGTGGGTACACGGCAGACAGACGACCTGTCACCCTTGCTGAATATATGCATGCGATGTTGACATGAACAGAGCCTGCCTGCGGAACTTGACAGCTTGCTTGAATTTTTTCTTGTCGAACCAGCCCTTGATACCAACAGATACATGTTTACAGTCTTTTCCAAGCGATTCACATGGCCGAGAAAGTGACACCCTGGCGATACTGTAGCCTTTGACCTGCCATTGATGACCGACCATCGTTCATGAACTTCTCAGCAGCAGTATCAACATGGTACCAACGGCCGTCGGTTGTGAGAACTCCAGTTGACTGGTTATAAATCTCCATTTCATCATCATCATCATTGGGGGCCTTAAGCTCAGCCTCTTCCCAGTCTTCATCATCAACTATATAGAGTGTAACAGTCGGGTTCAGTAGGTATATCGAGTTCGCACCCGGACAGCTTTGTGTGAGCACGAATCATATCCTTCCCCATGTCGATGCCTTCCCTGAGTGCTTTCCTAAGTTTTTTGAGGCTGGTGTCTCTCCCCTTGTTCACCCGTGTTTGGTTGGGATTGGGAATCAGTGTCTTCCCCCGAGTGTGTGCAACGTCATTCGCCACAAGATGGCTGCCTTTCGCATCAAGCTCAAGGCACCGATTTTTCCTTGCTCTGGCGTCCTTTGTGGAAGCCAGTGCGAAGGAAAGCAAACAATTGTTCGCAAGAGTCGGAAACAAAATGCCAGGGAGCAATATCACAGTCCTTGTACTTAGTTGCACATTGGACTAGATAATGAACCATCCCTTAAAGGCCAGTTATAAGGTCCTGGAACGTTGGAGCCGTGATAAAGTGTTTACCTTTAGCCTTCCGCTTTTCGCAAACATGATCCCCTGAAGTGGAGGAGGAGGAATGAGGAGGAGGAGGAAAAAGAAGAGGAGGAGGACTGAGGAAGACTGAGGAGGAAGGGGAGGAGGAGAAGGAGGTGAAGGAGGAGAAGGAGGACTGAGAAGGAAGACGACCATGAGGAGGACGACCATGAGGAGGGGAGGAGAACTGGGGGGATGACTGAGGAGGAGAAGGACTGAAGAGGACTGAGGAGGAGGAGGAGGAGTAAAAAGATGAGGACTAAGGACGAGGAGGACTAATGACTGAAGACGAGAGCGAGGACGAGGAGGAGGACGACTGATAAGAAGGGGAAGGAGGAGGAGGAGGAGGACTGGGGAAGGACTGATGAGGAGGTCTAAAGACGAGGAGGACTGAGGACGAGGAGGACTGAGAAGGAAGACGAGGACGAGGAGGACGACTATGAGGAGGACTGAGGAGGGGGAGGAGAACTGGGGGGATGACTGAGGAGGAGAAAGACTGAGACGGACTGAGGAGGAGGAGGAGGAGGAGTCAAAGGATGAGGACTAAGGACGAGGAGGACTGAAGACGAGAGCGAGGACGAGGAGGAGGCCGGCTGATAAGGAGAAGGAGGAGGATGAGGAGGACTGGGGAAGGACTGATGAGGAGGAGGTCCGGGGGAGGACTGAGGAGGAGGAGGAGGACTGGGGGAAGACTGAGGAGGAGGAGGACTGAGGAAGGAGGAGGAGGACTGAGAAGGAAGACGAGGACGAGGAGGACGACTATGAGGAGGACTGAGGACGAGGACTGGGAGGAGAACTGGGGGCATGACTGAGGAGGAGAAGTACTGAGGACAACTGAAGAGGAGGAGGAGGAGGAGTAAAAGAATGAGGACTAAGGACGAGGAGGACTGAGGACGAGAGTGAGGACGAGGAGGAGGCCGACTGATAAGAAGGAGAAGGAGGAGGAGGAGGACTGGGGAAGGACTGATGAGGAGGTCTGGGGGAGGACTGAGGAGGAGGAGGATGACTGAGGAGTAGGAGGAGGACTGAGGAGGAGGAGGACTGAGGAGGAGGACTGAGGAGGAGAAGGAAGAGGGGAGGAGACTGAGGAGGAGAACTGGGGAGGACTGAGGAGAAGGAGGAGGACTGAAGAAGGAGGAGGAGGACTGAGGAAGAGGAGGAGGAGGACTGGGGGAGGACTGATGAGGAGGAGGACTGGGGGAGGACTGAGGAGGAGGAAGAGGACTGTGGAGGAGGACTCAGGAGGAGGACTCAATAGGAGGACTGAGGAGGAGGAAGACTAAGGACGAGTACGAGGACAACTATGAAGAGGACTGAGGAGGAGGACTGATGAGAAGGAAGAGGAGAAGGAGGAGGAGGAGGATGAGGAGGACTCAGGAGGAGGAGGACGACTCAGGAGGACGACTCAGGAGGAAGAAGACTTAGGAGGAGGAGAAGGAGGAGGAGGAATGGGGAAGGACTGATGAGTCGAGAAAGAGGTCTAAAGACGAGGAGGACGGAGGACGAGGAGGACTGAGAAGGAAGACACGGACGAGGAGGACGACTATGAGGAGGACTGAGGACGAGGACTGAGGAGGGGAGGAGAACTGGGGAGATGACTGAGGAGAAGGACTGAGGAGGACTGAGGAGGACTGACGAGGAGGAGGAGTAAAAGGATGAGGACTGAGGACGAGGAGGACTGAGGACGAGAGCGAGGACGAGAAGGAGGCCGACTAATAAGAAGGAGAAGGAGGAAGATGAGGAGGACTGGGGAAGGACTGATGAGGAGGAGGTCTTGGGGAGGACTGAGGAGGAGGAGGAGGATGAGGATAACTGAGGAGGAGGAGGATGACTGAGGAGGAGGAGGATGGCTGAGGAGGAGGAGGATAACTGATAAAGAGGAGGTCTGGGGGAGGACTGAGGAGGAGGAGTTCAGGAGTAGGAGGAGGAGGACTGAGGAGGAGAGGGAGGAGGGGGAGGAGGAGGACTGAGGAGGAGGAGGAGGACTGGGGGAGGACTGAGGAGGAGGACTGAGGAAGGAGGAGGAGGACTGAGGAGGAGGAGGAGGACTGGGGGAGGACTGAGGAGGAGGACTGAGGAAGGAGGAGGAGGACTGAGGAGGAGGAGGAGGACTGGGGGAGGACTGATGAGGAGGACTGGGGGAGGACTGAGGAGGAGGATGAGGACTGGGGAGGAGGAGGATGAGGAGGAGGACTCAGGAGGAGGAGGAGGAATACTTAAGAGGAGGAGAAGGAGGAGTGATGAGAAGGAGTTCAGGAGTAGGAGGAGGTGGACTGAGGAGGAGAAGGAGGAGGGGGAGGAGACTTAGGAGGAAGAATACTTCAGAGGAGGAGAAAGAATACTTAAGAGGAGGAGAAGGAGGACTGATGAAGAGGAGGAGGAGGACTGAGGAGGAAGACTCAGAGGACTGAGGAGGAAGAAGACTTAGGAAGAGAAGAAGGAGGAGGAGGAAGACTCAGGAGGAAGAAGACTTAGGATGAGGAGGAGTAGGAGGACTCAAGCCAATGATAAGCATGTGTCACGATACAAATGTACTTTACTATACATTTAAGGTGCAGTGTACTATAGTGATATTATGGTATGTTTAAAGACCGGACCACAAAATATAACCCGGCACCTAGTGTTGTACTAATACATAATAACAAGTAACAGGGATAAAATCAATGAGCAGAAACAATCGATTTCACAAGAGGCGAAAGCACTCGGGTCTGGGAGTACATGATAACTCCAACTAGTAGTGAGCATACTAGCCCCTGCAGTGGAAAAACACATAAAACATACTAATGAAATGTCCAATTGGTTCGTTTTCTCATCACAATATATAGCATACGTATTATGTAGGGGTTCTGGTTGAATTATATCACTTCTGAGAGGTTTTAGAGATCGATTCTGTAAATTTCTCAATTTTCCGATTTTTCCGATTTTTCCGATTTCGGCCTCATCAACCCTTATATCGGAAATCGGGTTGTACCCCCCCCCCCCTCCCCAGTTAAATGGACCAATTTCCAATAAAACATAAAATAGATCAGAATATATCCCAAATTTTAATTTAAAAAACGATAAAAAGGGAGCGACTTTCAAAATTTTGTGTGAGTTCATCGTTTTTGTTGTTGCACCCCCAGGTTTTATGTATGATATTGATACATGATGGTTTACATATTATTTTAATGTTTCTTCACTGCTAAGTTGAGCTTAGATCTGATTAATTACGAAGATGTGTGATCTTCTATTTATTAAAATGACGATTTGTAAAAAATACGAAAAAATACGAATACGAATTTGAAATTTTAGGGGTGCGTTCGTATTTTTTGTAGTTGGACCCCCCCCCCCCCCCCCCCCCCCCCCCATAATGACGGTTACCTACATTTTGGTAGTCCGAAAATATGGTGTTTTTTCTCGAAAAACCAACGACTTTCGTACCATTTAAATATGTCTCGTAAGTTGATTGACAAAATAATCTTAACCTTCAAGTTCAATTGGACATTAAACCGTAGTACATAGGTACATATTGCAATTGCAATGAAAACTGCAATAAAAAGCCGCGCCGCAACAGCTGTGAGCATTTGATTAAAGGTGTTCACTTTTCTGCTTATTTTAATGATGTTTTCTTTAAGTATACATTTGTTGATGGATAATTATACGCGTTTAAATCTCTTCTAAACATCGACCACAGCCAGAAAGAGCTGATAATAGCGCGCCAGGTCTGAGGTCAGTTTCTCATAAATTGGCGCGTACTAAATAATTAAACGGCATACAAAGAAATGAACTGTAATATTTGATAAAATAATATGAGACGATCATTGTCTCACTGATAAATACTTAAAATAAAGATAATGTAATAATGATGTCTGTTGCTAAAATTGTGCAAATATTAAAAATACAATGTTAAAAATTAAATTAAACACTATTTCATATTTTAGGGACCACGCATCGTTCACACACCATTGACCATAAACTAATTCAGATGATGAGATCGAAGGGGTTAGAGCAGAGTGTCAGAATTGTCCAAAAAGTAGCTGACTTGATATGAGAACGATCCATTAGTCGTACAAATACATATTATAAACTATGAACAATTACCAATACTGAAAGTGAACTGCTATTGTAAAACATTAGGTTAGATTGTATTAAAAAGATTTAACATAAAATAGCCACACCGTTATAAAAGATAAAAGTGTCTGGATAAAAATAAATTAAAAGACAACCCTTCAAATGATGCGTTAATAAGTTATTTAAAAAACAGTCTGATCATTAAAAAAAAGCAGCTTCAAGATGTCACGTCCTCAATGATAGTAGGTAGAGCAATGTTAGCCACATAAGCCAATTTATCAGATAGTTCAGAGCTCAGCACCTTGAAGGAGAGGGACCCCTCATCTAGGACAGAGTCACTTCTCAGATGGCAGTAGTAATCCTTCTTCACGTTCAGTACCACTGAGGTTTGAGAGAGCGAGAAGTCGATCTGAAATCAATAATGTTACTGCGGAGAGAAAACCCGGTAAAGAAAAACGTCTACCAAACTAAAATTAGCTACATAAAATATACAATACAAATATTAAACAGTCGAGTGCGTCTGAAAAGGGTTCAATAGTAAGTTCCTCTAGAAAAGAATAAGGCGTGATTGTAACTTGCCTGCAAAGTGAAGTCGTTCAGTAGGAAGCAAGTGAAGATGTGATCCCGATACCAATACTTGAGATAGATCTCATTTTCAGGGTCCTGTGTTGCTATGGCAACCATGTCTGATAGTTTGCTGAACTGGTCTAGTATTGTCCCTATCTCCGGGGAGGCTGGTGTCACTTCACTGCTACCCCTGAAGGAAGGACGTGTTTAGTGAACATATTACTATTTAATATTATTACTATAGATTTGTCTGGTATAGCGACTAGCAAGTGAGAATGACGGGGAAGAGTCGGGATATAGAGCGATAAATTCCCGGAATTTTTAAAATCCTAGCAAGAATATAGAACTCAAAAGTCGTGTGTTTTGAAACTATGTTAAAGTATGTACCACGTCTGACGTCATTTCATTGTCCTAGTATATGAAATTGCTCGCTGGTGGACAATAATTGATGGCGTTCTATAATAACACGGAACACAGGCAAGTGACGCCAGTTCGTGATGTTTAACAGATAGAGTTGCCACAGCAAGTAGAGTTGCCACAGCACTAAAACAGATTACCTTACAAGACATATTTATGGCGGCCTAATTTGCGACGACCGAAATTTTGGCGGTCCGAAAATATGGCGAAATTGAACAAAAACCGTCAAATTTCGGACGTCACAGAAAATAAGGGTATTTTTCATCATTTTTTGTGACAGTAAGCAGTAAGGAAATTTCTGAAATTCGGTAAAATCATGTTCAAACTTAGTCTGTATTAAGACTGTAAGACTTTCATGTTAGCACATACATGTATTTTAATGCAAATTTAAACTGTATTGCTTGACATTCAATTCGTCATTGGTGTGGTGATAATTTGTCCCAAGATGCCAGAATTTATTTATTTATTTTACTTGATATTACTTTTTAGAAACAAAATAAAGCAGTGAAGGCACAGTCATTGAAATAAGCTAAAAGATAATGCGACGGATTCTATTACGACGACCGAAATTTTGGCGGTCCGAAAATATGGCGAAATTTTCGGAAAACCGCCAGATTTCGTACGTTATAAATATGTCTTGTAAGGTATTCAATTACCCAGATATTGTTAATCGTGGTTTGCACGGTACTATCTAAGTTAAGTTACACCGTCCGTTACGATGATCTGATACATCTCTTTAAAGGTGTATGTAAACAAATCAATTAATAAGTGTACATAACTACAGTCAGCCTCATAGGAGAGGTAACTTTACATTCATCTCATGGTATCTTAAGGTTAGCTGTCAGCTCTGCGTTACAGTCATTTCATCTGCCCCTAGGTTAGCTATCAGTTCCCGAGTAGGGCTCATCCTTATAGTTTTGTATTTCCCCTTATTTTTAACAATTTACAGTGAAACGTCTGGTTTAACTTATACAGTCAAACCTCTATATCAATAAGGCCCCTAATGGGGGTATGTGATACGCTCGACAGGTTATTTGAGAGGCTCCAGATACTAGAAATTGTGAACCTGGTTTTTTATATACCGTAAGCTTTTTGCCTTTTTGTTTTTTTCCCTCGAGGAGCCCGACTAATTCGATGATTTCAATTATTTTTATTGGAACTGTAAAATATACTTTCATACCTGTATAACAAAAATAATCTCATGCAAACCTTCCCAATGATCAGAGTTGTAGATAAGTGGCAGATTATGTTTTGAGAAATATAATGAGGAGCTACGTGCTTCTATTGGTTACCCTTGTAAAAGAGTCAACGACATTTGGTGATATAGGTAAGAACTGCTTTTATGTCAATTCTGTTCAAATTAACTCACTCTTAGTTCATTATGTTAAACCGATTGACTAGATACTTGCCAAAATTATGAATTTCAATATTCATTTAGATACCGTTGGATCTGGAAATGAACTCCTTGATATTATTTGATATGATTGAATCAATCAAATGCGTTTGGCATTTCTCACTCGAATATTCACTCGCAGTTTTCGAGGGCTCAGAAGATTTAGAATACGAATCCACTGTTCAGTGTACTTTACCTTACATCAAAGTAGACGGAGTATGTAGTAAGTTACTTTAAATATTTTACTATAAACCAAATAGAATGAGTTAGCAAAAGATGGTGGATAATGGGAGGCTTAAGTTTGGGGAACAAGATCGCTAAACTCCGTTAAAAGAGTCTTCTCGGCCCAGAAAAAGGGCATTCGCGCTGCAGATAACCATTACCACCGCTATTTTTATGACAAAGATCTGAATAGCACACCTTCACACACAAAGGAAATTTTCAATAAACTAGAAGTATTAGCTTTACCGAACGTGATAGCTAAATGTATATTATGCTTAATGCACAAAGTTTATTCTAACACTGCACCACCAAATATTATAAGAATGTTCACTGTTTCAAACTTAAACGCACCTAGAAGAGAACCTGAGTTCTTTGCAGTACCATTTAACCGTTTATGTAATTCAGACAAGAGCATTTCTTACATTGGGCCTAAGTTATATAACCAAACAGTCAACATTATTAACAAGGACATAAAATATGTCACCACTTGCCTACAAGACAAATTCCTAAATTCATTCAAGTCTACAGTTAACAAGCATGTGCTTACTGCACAAGCACATAAACCGGATGACAAGGACTGGGACAACTCAAATTTCGTACTTTTAGAAATTTAAATAATTTGGTACAACATACGTTGATCATAATAACGAGCAACAAAACTTTAACCTCATAACAAAATATGACTATCTTCGAGCATTTTTTACAATGCTATCGACACCGCGCAATTTCACTGTCATTTACAACTTTTAAAAGATAGAAATATCACCGCGCATTCTTCACACCCTGTGTCGCTGTTCTAAATTTATGTCAAGAGATAAGAGTTATTTAAAATTCTTAATAGTACTATTTAAATTTGCTAATAGCATAATCATATTTTATACATTATTAATAATTTATACATTGTGTGCATATATTTATATTTGATTGTAATTAAAGATTTTAAGGCGTTAGTGCCGAGTAATGCCTTCGGGTAGTGCTCCTCAATCAACTCAAACTGCAAGTCCTTTAACTCTACAGATATATAAAGTTGTAATTGATACGCTGACCGCTTCAGATGCCTAAAACCATAAGTTGAACCTCAACTTAACTTTAAACCCAACCTTAACGTTAACTCCAATCCTAGTCTTAAATCTAAAAATACTAAATCACCACGTGCTCACCACGTGCTCACCACGTGTTGCCCAGGGGAGTGTTCAGCAGGTACCTACGTTGGTACATTAAGCTGTCTTGACTGTTCAATAGGTACCTACACGGACACAGTGAGTCAATATTCCTGTGTTGCGTGTGGTCATGGTACGAGTACTATGAGTATCGGTTCTACTAGCTACAGTGATTGCGTTGGTTAGTATTTGTAGGCTAATACTTAATCTCAGAAGTGTAGTGGTTTATTGACCAGGGATGAGTTTTCTTTTCATTTTTTCTAGACTACCATAATTGTGTCCTATGTTATCTATACTCTCAGTGGTAAAAATTCAGTAAAAACTTCAAAATTTCGATCCAAGAAAGGTTATATTTGAATATGTACTACCGCAACCAGTAGAACGTTTTTGTAGTTCTTTCTCCAGTAATCTAGCCTCCAGTGCCAAGTAAGGTGACATGTCCAACAAATAAGTTCTGTGCATGTTTCAATATCTAACAAGTCTCTCCTTCCCCAGAAGTGTGCACAGTACCCAATGTCCTCTTCTCAACCAGTACAAACCCTCTAGCTGGTACTAACGTAGCTATCGGTACCACTATAACCACTACCTGTCAGGGTGGTTACTATATCAATAGTAAAAGTAGTCACACTCAATCCTGCTCCTCAGTCATATCTAGCTGCCGGAGTGAGTAACTCTTCATTTTATAAAGATTGTCTGACTATATGAGCAGTCTTCTCAACAACCAATTACATTTGTCACATCCTACATACATACCTGACCTATGTTGAGTTTCGTCAAAACTTGACGAGGCCATAATTAAATAAAATTAACGACAACGTTTGCATCTTGCTCAAGCTATAAGGGACACTAAGTCTGGATGAATAATAACAGATAACCCCCTCAATCTTAACCCTTAGGCCTTAAGACAGTAACTTTATGGTAAGATATCTGTCAGTTCCATCTCACTCCACTCTCTCTCAGAGGTATCCACCACGGTGGGACAGAACGGTTACTACACAGCCGGATCAGACGTACAGCTGACTTGTACTGTAGTTACTGGCGGTGCTCCTCATCTCAACACACCTTATGTGTGCACCTGGACTAAGGGAGGCGATGTCTTACCTAGCACCAGCCAGTTTAGGTGTGTCAGTAATCTTAGTGATCTAGCTTAATTGGTTTTAGAGGCATCACAAGTATGGGAAGTATGTTGATTGCTTTTAGAATCATGAGTTGCTATCCAGGAAAGTCCCTGTACTAGAAATAAAGTAACTGGCTCTACAGCTCCATAACAGCACTCTGTTTCTCAGTGCCCACGCTACCGCTGCTAACACGTACCAGTGTGTACACACACTATCTGGAGTGACGTCATCAGACTCGGATATCTACTCTTGTTCTGCTGTTTATACCTCCTTAGCTGAACCTGCTACCTCCAATGTTACTCTTAATGTTCTGAGTAAGTTATCATAAATCTATAATGTTTTTGATAAACATATATTAGTGATGGAAGTTTTCATAAGAAAAATTGAGTTAGAATATTTGCCTACTCATAAGAAATCGAGTGAATAACAATATACCGCACTAAATAATGATATGAAGATTAGCTACAGTGATGCATAGTCTCATTGTTTTCCTTATTAATTTACTTAAATTGTTTTGATTGTAGCTACCAAAGTAGAACGCTTTAGGTTAACTAACACCTTTATCTCAGCTCTTACATACAACACAACACAGATAGTAGAAACTTTAGGAGCTTCTATTCAGCTTACATGCATAGCAAGCATGCCCTCCTCTCTGAGTGCCGTTCTCACCTTCCAGTGGGAGAGAGATGGTACCTCTATAACCTCTGGTGAGGAAATATTTGTTCCTTATTCTGGTCTATGCGTTCATCAGTAAACTTATAGAGCTATCGTTATCCTTTTGGATAAAAATCAACATAATTTTGTCACTTATCCATTATCATTTATCAGGCTTTCAGATCTTGGTGCTAATATAAAAATGTTCCCTTATATTCAGTAATAA